CTGTTTGAAAGTGGAAAAATCGCAGATAGCGAAATGCAGCTTGAGTAAATCGATAATTAAAAAATGGGATGTTTCATTAAAGACGTGCAAATGTATTAGAGATGAAACGGATGTCCGGTAACTATCCAGTAACCGGCCTATTCGGGATATTATCACTATCCGGCTGGATACCGGATGTTTAAAACTGAGAAAAATTCATAATCAGTACGCCAAATAAATTGATTTATTGATTAAAGAGGATCAGATCAGTAATAGAATATACAGCAACTCCAGGATCGTTGACAATCTGTTTATTACTTGTAATTGAAATAACTATGAAGTAACGTTACCTGTAAATTTAGTACACTAAAATTTCAAAAAAGGCAAAATAAGGAGGCTAAAGACTAGTTTTTCTGCATTAAGTGGTAAAAATTGGTGATATTTATTTTCATACATAGATCCAACTTTGCTTTTTTTTTACTGTTAACATTTTTCTGTTATGTATTTGTTTGAATTATCGAATAAATTAATCGTTTTTTAAAAAATCCAGTGACCACAACAAATCAAATCGTCAATGTCAAAGTGCAATCATTCACTAATCAATCAATTACGGTGATGCGCGCCGTAAACAGGTCGCGACATGTTTACGGCAATGGGTCAGATATCCGGCGCCTGATATCCGGCTATCCGGCCTAGGTGCTCGCCGGATATCCGGTCTCCGGCCAAATCACTATCCGTTTCATCTCTAGTATTTAGCGACAAATATAAAATTTATGCCAAGTCAGAATATTTGGAAGATTTATATAACAACATTTCTAGGTCTTAGATATAACACCCTTGTTTCTTCGGCATCCGCGATTGAAAGCTCTGAGTGACACTGCAACTGTTATGGACAGGCGCGTCGTTTACTATGCGCATGAATTGTTCATCCCGTCGCTTAATATTTAGAACATAAATTTCGTTAACAAGCAAAATCTCACGTTAATTACGGTAATTAATCATAGAATACGAATGGTCGCCAGCTATTTCGAGACTTCAGCGGAAGCTTACTGACCAACGGACGATCAAAAATAAAAATTGTCGAGGGAATGAAAAACGTAGTATAAAATGCGGTGAAGCTTGATGAACATAACATAATTATTACCCATCCACGTCTAACTGCCTCTGTGGCCAAACGGTTACCATGCCGGACTACCACGCAGAGGTCGCAGGTTCGACTCCCGGGCTGGGAGAAATATTTGTGTGGCCTACATTTATTTCTTTCGTAAGTTTGTGTGTAATTTGTGGTTGTCCATGTGTGTGCCCATTAATTCTGCCCTGGCTAGAGATGTCGCTATTAACTATAATTAAATATGTATTGAATTGACATTCATTATTTTTTGTGAAATTACTCCATTACTTTGTTATAATTATTATTACAAAGATCGAACACTTAGAAAACTTGCCTTAGTTGGCAAAGCGCCTGCCACGGTTAGGTACAAGACGTGTCGGTTCAAATCTGGCCGGATCGAAGGAATTTTTTCTAAGTGTCACCTATGCATAGGTAAGAAAGATGTTAGTGAGAAAAATTTTGAAGTGATATTTGAAAACAGCAAAAATAAACAAGTAACCTCAAAGATATCTATGTATGTACTAGCGTACTAGATGCGGCGTTCGTGCGGTGAAACACAAGGTAGAGGGTAGACGAAATTCAAGATAGGCTCGCCCGCGTGCCCGGGACGCTCATTTCAGTTAAAACGTAGAAGCTAAATCATTAGAGCGTATTTTGCCATGACAGTTAAAGGCACGCGGTCGCTGCGCGGCGGCCGCGCGGGGTGGGCGCGATGAAATTCGAGTTGAATAATACGCCCTTAAGGTCTGCCGACTCGACCTGTGGCTCAGTTGGTAAAGTCGTTGCCCTAGATTGGCAAAACAAAAACAGGTGTCAGATCGAAGGAATCTTCCCTTTGCCATTAGATCAATGAAAGATAAAATTTTTATGAAGAGGCTGTATGGTAAAACCTTTGCTTAGCCAAATGGGTGAAAATTAAAAAAAAAAGAAAGAATTTTCTTTGCCAGTTAGTATAACAGTGCTTAAAAAAATTGTACCTCCATCAGACCAGATCTTGCTTGCACAGGGCATAGTGCCCTTCCCGCATGTCCATACGACAAATCATTAAGATTTCATAGTGGTTCAAACATCGAGTATGTAACCAGAAATAGAGACGAAATAAGGGCCATTATATTCCTGGTAACACATTAGCGATACAGCTCTTTTAAATATCAACTCCCGTTTGCACTGAAATATAGACAGGCCAACTACTGACATGTGTGTACGTCTCCGTATATTCCAAAAAATATTCTATATTTCTTGTAATAAAGATAATATCTCTAACAATGCCGTGCTGTTCTATTCGGTGGTATAGGAAAAACAGCAAAACATCTAATTACAAAACAAACGGAATCACATTTCATCGGTAATTGAATATTAAACTTAGAATAATAACGCTTAGAATGATAGTTTCATATCAAACGAACTGTCACAAGTGAGGCAAAAATCAAATTCATGTAGGCTAGTTTTAGTAGTTGGTTAATTTTCGGTTTTAGTGGATATTTATATAAAAATACAAGTTGAAACGCGTTACTTCCTTGTGGAATGTGATGTTAGTATCTATTTTATGTTCGTCTGACGTATTTTTGCACTCATTTACCGCACATTTCGTCATTTTTAGCTAAAATTCTTGATCTGTTCGCGGTGCAAGTTGACCTTGAGCACTGAAGGCCCGCCCGCTCGTGTAGGCCCATTGGGCGCGCTTCCATTTGCCTCACTTAGCGTGTGCGGACTAGGTTTCTATGCGTTATTATTCTAAGATATTAAATATGTAATTTTGCAATTTTCGTCCATTATAGCAAAGATCAAGTTAACTGGTCGATTTGAAGTGAAACAATTGGCGACAGCCGTCATTTGTTTCGAACGCAGGTTAGGCAATCGGAGCGCAGTTGTCACAGTAATGATATGGCAGAATAGTTTTCAAACAAATTAAATGACATTTCGTCTCTATTTCTGGTGTATACTCGATGGTTTCAAATTATGACCGTGTGAGTTTGTTCAAATTATGAGCGTGTGAGTGACAGCTAGGTTCTGATAGTAATCGAGGCATATCCATTGGTTTTTTTCTGCCGCGATGTTGCATTACTTCACCTATTTCTTGTTATCGTATTGGTGACACGCACTGTAATACTTGCAACCGATTGTTGACCAAGGTGCGCTAGACGTAGGGGAAAGAAATGGTACGTCGTGTGGGAACGCTCTTTTCACATATAGCATTAATTCTTCATTTTTAACCGACTTTAAAAAAGGAGGAGATTCTCAATTCAACCGTTTTTGATGACTCTTTTCTTGTTTGAAAATTGATCAATCAATCAATCAATCAATATTGATCTCATTTAAATTTGAAGAAAACATTCCACCTCAAAGGGTGGCAAACTTGTGGATGAATCTTGTTTCGCGCACTTTCCAGTAACCGATTTCAATAAAACTTGGCAAATAGATGTAATTCTACGAACTTTTGATGTCGGTTTTTTTAGTACTCTGTACTGATATTATAGCTAATCCCTTCATCATTGTTAGTAATTTTTTAATATTAGTTTCATTTTTTGTTTAAGAAATGTAATTTTATTTTATAGAAAATAAGGTGTAGCAACTATTGCTAATCCCAATACTGTAGCGCTGTGTTGCGACAGTTTTTTACTTTTTAATTCGTTAATATGATTTTTTTCAGGGCGTAACGTCACAAATGAGTTCTTACCCTTACTGGACGCGAGTGGCCCTTGATCTAGTTATCAAGCAGTTGAAGTCCGAGCCTATCGTAACCAAGGACGTACACTCCTACCTCTGGGGCTATGAAGACAATCTATTGTCCTTGGCTCATGCGGTTGCACCTGGTTCGTTCCAGTTTAGTAAGATCGGCATCTTGGACAGGGTGAGTAATATACCTTGTTCCAGAGACCGGGTAGTAAAGGATTGTGGACGAGTATTAGTTACAAAGCCGAGCGCTCCACAAAACGCTCGAACAATCTACTTTCCCACCGAGGTACATACATTGCTTTTCTCAAACAATGCCAGGAAATAATACTAGAAAAAGTGAAGAAATAATTGATTATATTCCAAGACAAATTTCGCTTCTTATATTAAATTACGCGTAGTGTAGACAGTTTATATGGTTTCGCTCTTTTCACTAGAACTCATTTTCGCGATAAGAATATTATAAACAATACAAAAAAAAACAAAAATAACTAAAAAACAACTTCAAAATGCTTTCCTTTGGCTTTTTAAAAGTATTTGGTGCACTATATTTTTTTTATGACTTTTTTAACACTAATGTATTCGGGAAGGAGGATTCGCTCTGGACCTTTTGGAGGGAAAAGTGTCGTTTTTATTTTGACTTTCAATTATTTTGTAAAATCTAGTTTAAAGTGGAATAAGATAGTGCTATTGTGCCTTAATCGAAGATTAAAACGCGAAATTATACGAATCTCGAACTAAAATACCCGTATCGGCCCGTTTTAAGGAATCCCGAGTCAATCCAAGCACGCCGCCTCAAATTGCCTATCCTCTTTGTGGCGGCCATATTTACAGAAACATTTAAACTTCATGTTCAGGCTGATGGCTTTGCCAAAGCCTTAATAAATAAAAAAAATGTATTCGGGAAGGCAAAGGTTCTACAATACAGCCTCTTCATGTTATCGTGCACCGTAATTAAACGCAATATTTAAATATTTTTTTAATAGGTACTCGCAATTGCGGGCACTGATACTCGTGAGTAGTTGGCTCTATGACAGTTTTTTAGTCCGTTTGTTAGTAGATATATTTAAAAACTTAGAGCAGCGGACAGTAATGGATTTTCATATTTATTTTGCCGGCTTAGATTGGCCAAGAGTTGCATGCTCCATATGGGGGGTTCTTTTTTAAAATAATGCAACCATTTCCGAGGTTGTTTGGTAAAAGATGATTATTTTAAAAAGCGTTTCGGACTTTGAAAACTACGTTTATAGTTACAGGTTTCTTACCACGAAATCATTTCTATTATTCTTCAACCGACAAGTTCACGGGCAACCGGCAGTTGACAGTGTTAAGGTCAGATATATCTCTCAGCCGTCTTGCAACCCGCATCACTACTTCAGATATGTTCATTTACTTATTTACTTTTGAATTTTGATGATTTGTGTTTACAACACGTGTCTGTCTTTGAAGTTGATAACTGCCGGTGATCCCTTAATGGAAACAAATAAATGTTTTAAAGTGGCTACATTATTGGTAGCAGTAGAGCTTCTTGTGAAAGAATTCGTCCAGAGAAGTACTGCCGCCTGTAATGTGAACATTACTGTGTTCCGGTTTTGTAAGATAAGATAAATTTATTCTTTTATAACTTAATCTAATACAATATAGATAAAACAAATGTAAATCTTTATTTAATACAAAGGTATTGTAGGGTTATTATTAGGGTTTGGGTTGGGGGGTTAGGTGGTCGGTTAGGGGGTGGGTGAGTGGGTTTGAGTGGGTTTTGGGTTAGGGGGTGGGTCAGTCACCCCTGACCGCCCCCCAAACGGCCCCCCAACCGGCCTCCCTACCGGCCCCCCAACCGGCCCCCCAACCGGACCCCCAACCGGCCCACCAACTTTTATTCGGTACTTTAGACTTTAATTGTTAGTTTCAATTGTTTCTTAGAACAAGTAAAAAAATTAATTGCAATTAATTTAATTGCAATTAAAATCAATTCAATTGAAATCAGTTGCAATTAAAATCAATTGCAATTAAAATCAATTGCAATGAAATCAAATGCGACGTGTCGCATTGAATTGATTTTTTAATCTGATTGAATTTCTGATTTAAATTTAATTGATTAACGCCCAACGCTGCCTCTGTTTCATTGTAAGTCTTACTATTAAGCCACAATTTGACGGTCCTTTTACATTCTATTTTATTCATGGCGAAATAATGCAAATTAGAATTTAATTTAAAGTAAAGGAATGTACTAAGGCAGCAAAAGAATCTATGCGAGATGAAAAGGCATCGAGTCGTCTGTGGTTGGTTAAACTAACGGAATCAAATGGAGTAATTGAGTGCTTTTTCAAAATTATTTGTTGGATAAACAGTTGCCGAACCGAGAGGACATCGCACTCATTTAGAAGATTGCACGTTGCATAATCGAAAGGACGGTAGGACGTGTTGTGGGGTAAGGGTGCTGGTGAAATTACAGGCACGTGGGACTTGTCAACCTATGTCTCAGGGTGACGTGCGCAGTGGCAGTGCGCCTCAAAACTTTGCGATTTACAGCTCTGAGTGGCTCTGCAGCTGCTATAGGTAGGCCTGTTGCTTGGCAACCTGTCGCCTTTATATTATAAAAAAACTAATGCAAACTAAACGCACTCCATGCTGAAAAATACTTCCTGTCCTTTTGCCCCTGGGTACACGTATATAACACACACAAATTCCAGGTATATTGCAAGCGGCAAAGGGAGTAGCTCGCCGCGGTCGGTAGAACAAAATGCATGACACCTTGATACGTGTTTTATGTTTGAGTTGTCGTATATCTATCGGTAATCTTCGTGTCTCCGCAGTCGAGGTAGGCGTTTAAACGAAAAGCATTTAAAAAGTTTGCTTTTTGAAATAAGCACATAAGCACGCTTTTCAATTTAAGCTTAAATCCCGCCATCTATGTTTCCTAAACAAATGTGAATAACAATTTTACAAATAAAAATAAAACTCGTGTTTTACAAATATACTTCATCTTCATCATCATATCAGCCGGAAGACGTCCACTGATGATCATAGGCCTCCTCCAAAGATTGCGAGGCTAGCCGGTCGGAGGTAACGTGCATCCGTCGGTTACCTTTTCAGAACTTTTCTGCCCCAACGGCCGTCAGTTCTACAAGCTATGTGCCCCGCCCACTGCCACTTCAACTTGCTAATCCTTTGGGCTATGTCGGTGACTTTCGTTCTTCTTCGGATCTCCTCATTTCTGATTCGATCACGTAGAGAATACCTGGGCATTGCTCGCTCCATAGCTCGTTGAGTGACTTTGACCTTTTTTATGTAATAATACATTTACTTATTATAAAACCTTTTATGGTCCTCTTGCTATCAATACAACGTTGCTTTTTTTAACATAAAAGTGTGAAACGTTTTTCTAAACGGTTTTGTAAGCTTCAAACCAGAAAAGCGTTTATGTGAAAAAGTCTAGTTTTCTAGACGTTGCTTGCATGCTTTTTAAAAAAACCACATTTTAAAATAAGCTGTTCTTCCCATCTCTACTCCGCAGTCGTCTGATTTCTATCACTTGCCCTTTGCACTGGGTGCAGACCGGACGCACTTAATCGACTTGAAGCTACCATCATTTATTTTGAAGATATGTTTTTGAAAATTAATTATAAATGTAGATTGCTAGTGTTTGTTACAAAATTAAGAGCCTTATTTTGTTGACTTGTTTGGTGTAACGTTAACAATAATACTAAAGCTGTAATTTCAAATACATGCCCGTTGTCAGAAAGTTCATGCAGATGGGAGAGAACGAAGTAGGCCCTTATAGATACACCCTCCAAATAGATACGCGCCATATTACATTTACTTGATATCGGTCCCTAAGTGTGGTTCAAACCAGCCAATAGACTGAGAAAAATAAAGAAGAACATAATTAAATATAATTTATTTCAGATCAAAAGTAATCCATATTTTGTTAGTATATAATCATAATTCTTACATGACTAGTATTAGTAATATACATCTTAATTTAATGTTTACGTTAGCTCAGCCAATGTTCAATCACAGGGCTGTCCCACCTGTGTGCCAACGTGTTCAGAACGGTATTAAAGTTAGGGCTGGCACGCACACGGAACCGCCCCAGCCCTATCAGCACCCTGAACGGGTTGTAACATTGCACCCGCAGAGCGCTGAATGCTTTTCGCGTATAAGAAGAATCACTGACAGAAGTCTTTAAAAAGCGTCGTTTTCACCACTTTTATACAACGTGAAAAATAAAGGGGTAAATTGTCAAATGTTATTATAAAAAGGGAAGTGAATTTATGGTTCACATGGTAAATCAAAATAAAACAACAATAGACAAAATATACATAGATAAAGTATGTAAGTACTTCTGTATTCAAATCATTATAGATGATAAATCTAATAATTATTTGACATGGAAATTTGTTTTCGGATGCCGTCATTGTCAAGGGTCAAGGCGCGGTGACTTATTACTGGTTAGTGCTGGTGTAATTTTCAAGTTTATTGAATGTTATGATATTTTATTACCATGATTTTCAGTTATATTTTGTGAAATTACTCCACTAGTTTGTTATAATTATTATAACAAATATCGAAATAGGAAAATATAATATATTGTTTTATATCTAATCTCCAATTGGAGAAGATGTGGGTTAAATTTTTCTGTATCTAATGGATCAATAAACATGTTTGACGTAATTCTACTTATGCCATTCTTCCGTGGGGGGTGTGTAAAGCATAACACAGAGGCGCTCAAAATACTAAGTTCGAACGTAGGTACAGCGATTTGTACCTACGTTGGAACACTACGTTAACTTGATTTTTGGACCTATTCTGTTTTTGTTTCATTTTTTGTTTCTTTACTTTTTTTCAGAAAATTCGGGTAGCATAATATTAGTAAATAAATAAATAATGGCTGTTTATATAAACAACAGTAAATGACCAAAAAATAAATTTCGTTAGGAGTGTCGTAATATCAAAACTATGCGTTAATGTATTTCCCTACGTCAATAACAAAACTGTGAACAGGTTAGGTGACTTTTTTTACTAATATTCGGAATGAATGGCCCTTCAAGTAAGTGTGATCATTACCGGTTTCCAAATTAATTTATTATACGACGTCATAACAGGTTGGACGTGGGTCAGGTGAATAAATAATGTATTTTATTTAATAAACACCATCTCCAAGTTGTAAGAGCTAAGAACAGTTAACAGAAATATAATAAAAATGTAACGTTTTTAAAAGGTTTTCGGATTTTCCTTTACATAGCACATTGTTAATACTATAAGCTAGCTGTAGTCGGCACACTGAAGATTTGGGAAGTTTCCAATCGGCTTTGGTGGACTATGGCCTTCACTTTAAAGGCGACCTGTGCACATCAGTGGAATCTAAGGCTACTAACAGATTGACTATATGTTTGTAGTTTATGCGTGAAGTGGTAATCAACTTCATGCAGCCGAGACCTCGACTGCATGAAGTTGATAACGACTTCACGCAATAACTACAGCAGTCGGTTTCGACTGCATCCAGTTAATGCGTGAAATCGTTATCCGAGCTTCTTCACGCATTAGCTACAAACATGCAGTCAATCTGTTCAGGCGTGGCATAACAATTTACGTAATATATCGAGTTCTTAGGTTACGTACGTTAACTTACGTAATATTTTATCGCATAAGTTGACAAGACAGAACCACCCTTACCCTTTGTGAACGCAGCGATGCTCACTTTACTGGCGGCAGAAATAGGTAAGGTGACAGTACTTCCCTGGACGAATTTTTTCACAAGGACCTCTACTACTACTGAAGAAATCGTTAAACATTGGTACCAAATGGTGGAAGTAGATCTCCTTGTGAAAGAGTTTGTCCTGGGAAGTACTGCCTCCTTACGTATTTCTGCCACCAAGCAGTAATGTGAGCTTTGCTGCGTTTCGGTCACGAAGGGTAATGATATTTGTGTCTTGTCAACTTAAGTCTCAGGTTGGCGGGCGCAGTGGCAGTTCTTTACGATTTGAAGCTCTGAGTGGTACTGCAACTGTTATAGACAGGCGTGTAGCTTACCAGCAGGAGCACGACTTGTTCGTCCCGTCACTTGATATTATAAAAAAAAAAACAATAATTTGAGTTTGTAGTAACCTACATATCATATCAATAACATTAAAAATCATTCGTACGGGTTAAGTAGTACCGACGAAAACGTGTTCGCGTTTTGTACTACCGGGGCGGTTGCAACCTTCTTGTAGTCGTCACAATCTAATAGTTAAAGACCCGTCTGACACCTGACATCACAACTTACCGGATCGATTAAAAATTTTATGACTTTGTGAGCGTATACATTATTTTTTATTGGTTTTAAGTTCATAGTAATTAACATTTGTTTACATACGGGTGACCGTCTGCGTTCCGGTACTAATTTGTCCCTCGTCATTCCAATAACACGGTTCGCAAAAAATATTCTGAAACGTTCACAGTGAATGCTGATCGTATGTGGAACCTCCTCCCGGTCAGAGAGTTACCTTCGGTTCGAGCTTTCAGGGAAGACCTTTAGAAAACTTGGGATTATTGAGACTCCTCATGTTAGAACTTATAAAATATTTGTTTACATTTCACATATTTATTTATACCTGTGTCTTACTTTATTCATTAATTTTACTATATATTTTATATGCATTAGTATATCATCGTTTACTTAACATGTATTCGTGTGTACATTTGATACAATAAATGTATTATTGTACTGAGTGTGTAGCAATGGGACAATAGTTGTTGTTTATAATGTTAGTCACATGGTAATGTGAGGTTGTTAGTATTTTGCAAATAACCGTGTATATTCTTTTATGATGATGATGATATCCATGCTTCGTTTCGCCTGTCCAATGTAAGAGCTTATAAACTCTACCCAGTCAGGGGATGTTACATTTCACTGTACTTAGGAGCTGGGAAATGTTCATCAGGGGTTTGGAATACATCTTGATGGATGCACGCCTGAGGAATCTACCGATCTATAACACCTTTCTTAGGCTGCCTTTCCACCAGAGATGTAGGACATAGCGAGGCGGTGTGCGAGGAAAAAATCCACCAACAGGATTACTTCATTTTCCTAGCCTCGCTTAGCGCAGCTCCGGTGGAAAAGGGTTAGCGGAGCTAAGTATTTGTAGAGAGGGGATGAGTTACATTCCGTTCAGTCGTCTGCCATCAGTTCGCGACATGTTGCGAACTCATGGAAAACGCCCGAATGGAATGAGCCATCAAATTGAAAAAAAATCTGTAAAGTTTCCAAATAAACAAATAAAAACTGAACGTCAGAGTCGATGAGGTAGGTGGGTCGTCAGTTTGTTGACTAATTGTAAATGATGTGTTAATGCAGTAATAAAAAGGTCACAAAAGGTCCCAGGTTTTGTTAAAAAAGTTAAAATTGTTGCTGTTGCTGACTATGACTGATGGACAAAAATATAAACGCATAGTACGCAGAAGTAACGGTTCTAGCCCGAATTCTATCTAGGGATAGTCTTCATCACAGAACAATAAATACTGTAGAGCTGGTTAGATAGCGTGCCAACTGTAGGCATAGTTCCGCCTAATTGAGGTCAGTTCGCCTTTTTCGCTTTGTGCGTTGTGGTTGTGTCAGTTCTTTCGCGTAAATTCTCTAAAATCGTAGAAGAACGCTTTATTATGCTGTTTTGGAGTGCAAAAATAATTACCGCACCAAAAGTATTGTCCGTGTTGGTATTTCATATCATTGGTAAGACTTATATTTAATAATTATAAATATAAATGTTCAATTTACTGTTTATCGAATTGATTTTTGTACTGTAACAAACGAAAACAAACATTATCCCAGAGCAATATGGTCGAGTTTTGATCTTTTGGAGAACTAAGTAAACATCTCGAATTTTCCACTCTAGAAGCGAACAAAAGCGTACCGAAAAATGCTTCATGAATGTTTTGTTAATTTGAAAGTTAAGGCGTGGTATGGAGGAGGCGTCATACTGATACGTCATACCGTGTTAAGAAACCTCTAACCAGTGACGATTATTCTAGATACTGTATGTTCTCAATTTGATTGATTCATTTAAAGGGTCCTTATGTAATGTGAACTTCATATTTTCAGCTGTACGACTCAAAGAACTTGAATATTTTAGAAGCATCCATAAAAGATGACGACAAATTTATGATCAAAAAACGGAATGGGAAAATTAAATTGCAAATGTCACCTATGGTCGACCCTGAAGATTGGTAAGTTAATGATATAGAATGAGTTGGTAGCTTTTAAAATTTTCTATAATGCAGCTTTCTTCTTTTCTGAGCCAATTTTTTTTAAATCTTTAGCAGCATAAAAACAAATATATTTATGCCCGACGTTCACACCAATTACTTAGTGTCAAATTAAGTTATTCTCTGCACTATGAGTGCCAGGGCAAGAAATTAACTCGGAAATTAAAGAAGACACATACCAATCGATTTGAAATACTGAATGATTTTTGGTTTCATCATCAACAAGTCGTGTGCCTGATAATAATCCACGCGTGCTCATAATAGTTGCAGTGCCACTCGAAGATCTGAGGAGCACTTTGACTGCACCCGTCATCCTGACGCACAAAGTTAACAAGCCCCATGTGCATGTAGTTTTACCAGGACACTACCTTTAAATGCTGGTGGCAGTAGGACGTGTCTGGACGAACACGTTGAAGTAGAGTTTCTGGTGAACTTATGTCTCAAGGTGACAGGCGTAGTGGCAGTGCCTCACGATCTTTGCCATTTAAAGCTCTGAGTGGCTACTGTTATGGACGACTAGTTCGTCCCGTCACTATGTATTATTAAAAAACTCTCTCACAAGGAGTAGAATAGACAAGTGTTTTAATTAAATCATGAGCTCACTAAACACTTTACCTATTTTCAGTGAACTGTGTGACACCTTTGAAAACAGTTACGAAGGAGTAGGATATCCTACTGGATTAACTCCAGAATTTCCCATCCGTCTCTACAGAATCGGCCTTTGCAGAATCTTAGACATGGAATACCACGGGCAGAAGCAAATGCCTTACGGGGCTGAAGCTATGGTGTACCATTTCAGTGAAAGCTTTTACTCATTAAATCATAGCAAGCAGAATGACGGCGTTTTGGATATGTCAGATTGTTTCTATGGTGAGTCAACTTTTTTAACATGTTTTTTTGAGAACACATATGAATATTCAGATAATTAAGCACAAAAACCACCTGTAGCCTGTATTTAGAAGACTCAAATTACTCTCCAACTCAACAGTCTTTCTGTCTAGAATACATAATGAGCGAAGTGCGTCAGTGGATTTCTTATCGAACTCGCTAACCGGTCTCCTCAAGGCAATCATTAGAAAATTATTTTAGTACTGTTTTTGATTTATGTTTTTCTTTTTTATGGCATTTATGTCATATTACCAATGTCACAATTAGATATATGCGCCGTGCCGCTGCGCCGCCGCCGCCGATGTATTTCACCGGCGTATAATCGACGTGGAAGTTATTATTGGTACAAAGATCGAAGAAACACAAAGAATATATACACCTTCGATCCAACTGGACTGGGACCAGCAACTATATCGCCAAACCGGGACTATCGCTCTCCCAACTGGGTTACTGGACGAGTTACCAGACCTTGCGAGCATTTTCTGAAAAATGACCATGGCCTTTATGACCTTTGTCGCCACGTTTTATATCCTACATTTTTTGTCATAGTGTCGGGTAACCTTGGTTCAATGTAACGTCAATTCCGATATGCGACAAAGTCTCATGCTGAGATATAGCGATTTATAATTACGCTAATGCATACTACACTTAACGTTAAACCTGCGTGTCTCGACTGACACCACAAGTATACACGAGGGCCACAGGCTTGTTGAGTTCTCTCATTAGACGGGTACACCTGTGACGATTCGACCACGTTCATCGTCATCCCACTCTGGTGGCTTCTTCGTTACTTACTTTTCTTCTTTCCATCGCCAAACTCTACTAAATCTCCGAAGTTGACATAAAATTCTGATCAGTTAAATCATGTAACCTAACTGCATATAAAGTATTATATTTGTGTTCGGGCAGGCCTCGCGTAATTAAATATAGTCCACACGAATTTTATTGTAGAAACAAAGAAAGAGTACAGGAAGGGAAAAGAAAAAGGCGTAAAGGCTGTAACTAAACAATGATATAAAAACCGGTACAATGATATAAAACACACCCTACTTAAATTATGTACAGGTTATGGTAAAAAGGAACTTGCCCCAAAATAATAAAATAAGAAGAAATACTATGCTTTATAAGCAGTTTCGTTACGTGATTTTCAATGGTACTACAAATTATAAAACTTATAATATATCGAGTTCTTAGGTTTTCGCGATTGTTACACGTGGTCACGGTTGACCATGGGACCTGTAAAGGGCCCGAAACGTCGGTTTGTTTGAAAAAACAAATATACGCGTTTTCTGACAAAAAGAATTATCAAAGTCGGTTTATGACTCCCGGAGTAATCTCGTAACGTACATAAATAAAATACCAAATTGAGAATCTCTTTTTTAAAGTCGGTTAAAATACAGCGATCTCCGACAAAAATGAAATTATAATTTTTTCAAAACAATTTTCTCTACACTGTAAAACTCATTTTCCCATTTAAGAAGTTTCAGGTATAAAACATTACACTAAAAGAACAAGCAGGTATAACAATATTTAATAACATAACAATAACGCACACACTCAACATAGCCCTGCAATAGGGAAACCCTGTGTCGCGGGTGCCATGGACACATACATAGATAATCACAAATTACACCCAAACTCACGAGATAAATAAATGTAGGCTATACAAATATTTCTCCCGGCCCGGGAATCGAACCTGGGACCTCTGCGTGAGAGTCCAGATATAAATAAATTAATAAAACATTGTACACTACAATTATTTATTAATTTATTTTCGGTTGGTTATTTTCATCACCATAAGTACGTGAATAAATGCATACATACAATCACGTCAACAAGTACAGTCGTAAAACTTTTTAAACAAAACAAACATCTTACTTTCTAATACACAACATAAAACACCCAAAGAATAGTCTAAGGTAGGATAATGCTATACATCAAAGCAAATACAGCAAAGTCACAAACTCGTTCCAGTGGTTCAGCAATCACGTACGCTTTTTTAAGAACCTTGAGAGTCAGTCTGTACCACTCGGAAGCGCCTTTGGCGAGTCACCGGAAGAGAAGCATGAAAATCTGGTTTACTATATCAAATGGTTTAGGTATTTGTTGTAATGGTGTAAATACATAACGGTCTCACAAAAATATATTAGATATACATTGAACATCCCTCGAACACAGACTGCGGCTTCGAACTTCTTGCTTCCATCTCTTTGCATCCGGGGCAAAAAATATAGAGCACGTTTGTCGACAGAATGAAAAAATATTTCTTACTCTATTTTACGCTTACCCCTTTCAAAGTAAAGGGAAAAATACCGAGATTACCGGAATATGAAAAATTGTAAAGGTAAACAAAAAAATCTATTTCAATTGTAGAGGTGTTTTTGCTATTTTACCAAGAACAGACTAGACAATTTGTTTCCAGAAATGATTTATTTTTTAAGTTTATAAGATTTATGTAAATATCTTAATTCAAAATAGACCACGCTTTTATGTCAGTCTCAACTAACGAAACAAACGAGGCCTTACACCAAGAATGAGATTCCTTAACAAGCATTAAATCAAACGAAAAATTCAAACTGCGTAGAGGGAAATTGATAAAAATAGCATATTTTACTACAGGCTAAGCTATAAACCCAAATTATAATTTACATCTATAGATATTTAGTGTAAAAATACGTAGATAAAAATAAAGCTGACAACATGAGCTATTGCCGAAACTAGCAATCAAAAACAAGGAAAATCCATGTTACAAAATTATTATAAAAAGTATAAGAAAATGCTATCAAACGCTGTGTTAAAATCTAAAAATAAATCCAATATGTAAAATTGTGATTATGACTACAAGCATAACACTAAAACTACGTGGAATATAGCAAGAGAAAAAGCAATTCAATTTATAAAAAGCTTCTTCTTGTGAAAGTCTTGCGACTCGGACATGTACATAAAAAGAATGAAATAACAACGTGGATGAGAGAAAGACGGATCAGATGAATAATAAGCGGAACTTACCGAGACTCGGTGAACAGCACTCTAAATGAACAAGACAAGTGGAAAGCTGTGCCAAAAAAAATCGTGATGAGTATGTATATTTAAAAATGTCGAACACATTCAACAAATATTTTGTATCGGTAGGAAATCAAAAATATTCCACTACATGCAGTCTACCGTCGTCGTCTAACGGACAGCAAGTAGTAATTCAGATTCAATAATCAAAAAATACAAAAATGTCGTTTTCCACGCAGTTTTGACCTGTTCTCAACAGCAAAGGCAATATTTTTGTAATATCAATAATAAGGATAACGTAAGCAACATTAGCTACTACTGTTATAATCTAAACACGCAAATTTTATGCTTGATCGTCTAATTTTATAAACGTCATGAACATTTTAGGATTACGTAGTTAAATTAGAAATCCGTACAGTATGCGTGTGTTCATCTATAAAGGTACTTCATTTTGTATGCACAGATGTAACCCATATCGCACCCCTCATGGAAGAATGACATAAGTGGAATTACGTCAAACATGTTTATTGCTCCATTAGATACAGAAAAATATAACCTACATACTCTCCTCTCCAATTGGAGAGGATGTAGGTTATATTTTCCTGTATGTAATCTCCAATTGGAGAGGATGTGGGTTATATTTTTCTGTATCTAATGGAACAATAAACATGTTTGACGTAATTCCACTTATGTAATTCTTCCATAAGGGGTGCGATATGTCGTTGATATACCACCCATTCTCAAGAAGCTCTTTGCTTCATCTCTAATGCTTATGCCAAAAGATGCTGTGCTTTTATAATATCAAGTGACAACTTATCCATAACAGTTACAGTGCCACTCAGAGCTTTAAATCATAAAGACGTACTACGTAAGAAGTACTGCCAACGTACCTATTTCGGCGGCCAGCATTAAGTGAGCATTACTATGTTCCGATTTGGAAAGGTAAGGGTGCTGGTAAAATTACAGGCACATGGGACTTGTCAACTTGAGTCTCAGGGCGATGGGCGCAGTGGCAGTGCCCCTCAGATTTTTCTCAGGAGTTCTGAATGACACTGCCACTGTTATGAGCTTTTTTGCTTACCGCCAAGTGCACCACTAGTTCGTCCCGTTACTTGGTGTCAAAAAAAAATTAAATGTTCTAAAATAACCCCGGTCATTTGGTACTTTTGCCTAGGCTTTGTGGGGTGTTCTTGTTACAAGTGATTTAGACATTGGTCAGGATTTGAAGCGTTTCAAAAGAATTTTGGCTAATATATTTTAAAATTAACTTTAATAAGCTCAATATCGTAAATATTTTATCATTGCTCTTAAGTTTTTCCGATCTAAATCGAGTACATTTGTTTTATCAAACAAACCAACGTTACAGGCAGGCTACATGTCCCGTGGCTACGGCCGAATGAAGTAGAGTATTGAAAACTATGATACGAGTGATGATATGACTTAATAGTTATATGCTTGCATAAATTTATATTGTTTGAATATTTTGTCTCTTGCTGTTGCATGATGAGATTTTCCTGAAATGTAGAAGAAAGCACGTAGTTTAAAGCTTAAATGTTTCACTATTTAACGTGTAGTGTTCTGTGTGTGAAATGTCTTAAATAATTAAAACGTCAGGAAATTCAGATGATTACATTTTAGGTTTCTAATAAGCATGGCGGCGATATTTCAAAGAGCTTTACTGCTAGTACATGTGTTTCCGAAAACTAAACTAGCTTAACATCAATTCTGATCGTGGCCAAGCGTGTGTCTGTTTAAAAAATAAAAAGATGTCTCCATCGTGTACACCGAAAACCGAGGGAAATTACATACGTCGATTGACATTATAAACAAATTACGTTGTAGACAACACGCAAAATAGGTGCCTTGACGTCGAGTTGCGGACTCTAGCCCGTTACACCAAGTACCAAGTACGTTGTAAACTCAAAGTCGATTTAAACGAGCTTTTATGACTATGAGGTTCAGATATTCGCTTTGAAAAT